ATTCTTGGTTTTTAAAAGAGACCAACTTAAAAAAAATAAAAGAATGTTACATGATTTTAATATTTTTTATCAGAATGTAGCCTTTAAAGTAAAAAAAGAAGAAAAAAACAAAGACTAAGCGTGATATTAGGGATTTTTTTAGAATAGCATTTAAATAAATTAAAGCTTATTTGTCAGTAGTTTGACTGACCATGTTTTTCCTGGTCTGTATATTCTCGCTATTTTTGATAACATTTTTTTCTGTAGGTTGCCTAAGTTTGGAAAAAAAATGTACAGAGCAGTAAGTATATCAAGGGTTGTTTCAATAATTTTTCTGGAACGAATGAAACAAACCTTAAAATGTCTCAAAGATACTCGATTCTTTTATTTAATTTAAAAATAGGAAGTATGATAAATTGACATGCTCAAGATTTGCAAGTTTTAATATAATTTCTGTAAATACTGTTCAAATTATTAAATAAGAAATCATAAATTTCATGAGTAATTATTCAGAAATCGTGAGATGCGGTCTGGTCTCACGATTTCTGAATAATTATCAATTAACGGTCACTAATCATTCATGAATAATATGCCAAATGTTGTATATTTTACATAAAAGAATGGTATATAATGTTGATGTTTATTAAAACCCTTTTCTGTCATGTCAAAAAATGTCAAGTAAAATATTTGGTGTGTTTGTGATTATCATTTTATACCAAGGCTCAAATAAATTCAGTTTTTTCAGAAGTCTGATCGATCATGTTCTTTCTAATCTGTATATTCTTGCCGTTTATAATTTATTTATTTGCTTTAAGCTGCCCGAGCAAAAAAATTTATTTAAGAGTAAGTATATCTAGTGTTTTTTCATATTTTTCTGCAGTAGATGAAATAAAAAATATGTCTCAAAGAGGCTGGATTCTTTTCTTTCATTAAAAAAATGTAAGTATGATAAAGTGATATTGCATTTATTAATTTCCTCTAAGTACTGAATGAAATTAAGAAGTAAGAAATAAAACATAAATTTCATGCATAACGGTCAATTGTTGTACATTATACATAAAAGAATGGTATATAATGTCGATATTGTTTATTAAAATCCTTTACTGTAAAAACAAAAACAAATGTCAAGTAAAATATTTGGTGTGTTTGTATCATTTTATACCAAGGCTCAAATAAATTCAGTTTTTTCAGAATTCCGATCGATAATGTTCTTTCTAATCTGTCTATTATTGCTTTTTAATAAGTTATTTATTTGCTTTAAGCCCGAGCAAAAAAATGTATTTAAGAGTAGGTTTTTTCCCTCATTTTCTGCAATGTATGAAATAAAATTTAAAAAATCTGTCAAAGTGGCTGGATTCTTTTATTTCATTTAAAAATATAAAGTATGATAGAGTGATATTGCCTGTATTTAAAAAATTAATTTCCTGTAAGTACCGAATGAAATGAAGAAGTAAGAGATAAAACATAAATGTACATAACAGGTCAATTGTTGTATACTATACATAAAAGAATGATATATAATGTTGGTATTGTTTATTAGAACCATTTGTTGTAAAAAAACCAATGTCAAGTAAAATATTTGGTGTGTTTTGGAGTAGCATTTTACACTCCAAAAGGTCAAATAAATTTAGTTTTTTCAAAAGTTTGATCGACAATATTCTTCCTGGTCTGTCTAGTCTTTCATTCTATATTTGTTTAATATAAGCTGCACAAGAAAAAAAAAAAGAAAACCGAATGGAGGAGTGCGGTACATATATCAAAAAAATGTCTTAAAGAAGCCGGATTCTTTCCTTTAGTTAAAAAGAATAATGTATGATAAATTGATACGCTTAGGATTTGCCTGTTTTAATAGAATTTCTGTTTTAATCTGTACTACTTTATTTGCTTGCTGTAGGCTGGACATGAAAAAAAAAAATATTACTAATAAACTTTGATAGCTTTTACTATATTTTTATTGCATCTACATAAAAATTCTGTAAAATGATATATCGACATAGTTGATTTGAGCAAGTAGAAGGCGAAATAAAAATGTTAAACAATGCAAAATTTCAACTTTCAAACAAAATAAAAAAATATGACTAGTTTACTTGTAAATATATGGTTTTTAGATTTTTTTTACATAATAAGAAATAAAAATGTTAAACAATGCAAAATTTCAACTAAAAAAAATAATAAAATTTAAAAAAAATAAATAAAAAAAATAAAAAAATAAATGAATTAAGAGTAGGTATATCTAGGGTTTTTTTCATATTTTTCTGCAGTAGATGAAATAATTTAAAAAATCTCTCAAAGAGGCTGGATTCTTTTCTTTCATTTAAAAATATAAAGTATGATAAAGTGATATTGCCTGTGTTTAAAAAATTAATTTCCTCTAAGTACTGAATGAAATTAAGAAGTAAGAAATAAAACATAAATTTCATGCATAACAGGTCAATTGTTGTACATTATACATAAAAGAATGTTATATAATGTTGATATTGTTTATTGGAATCCTTTACTGCAAAAAAAACCAATGTCAAGTAAAATATTTGGTGTTTTGGAGTAGCATTTTATATTCCAAAAGGTCAAATAAATTTAGTTTTTTCAAAAGTTTGATCGACAATATCCTTCCTGGTCTGTCTAGTCTTTCATTCTATATTTGTTTAATATAAGCTGCACAAAAAAAAAAAAAAAAAAAAAAATGGAGGAGTGTGGTACATATATCAAAAAAATGTCTCAAAGAAGTCGGATTCTTTCCTTTCGTTAAAAAGAATAATGTATGATAAATTGATACGCTTAGGATTTGCATGTTTTAATAGAATTTCTGTTTTAATCTGTATTACTTTATTTGCTTGCTGTAGGCTGCACATGCAAAAAGATGAGTTTAAGGTTCGGGTTTTTTCAAATTTTTCTGCAGTGATGAAATTAAAAAAATGTCTCAAAGAGGCTAGATTCTTTTCTTTCATTAAAAAACGATAAAGGGATATTGCCTGTATTTAAAACATTAATTTCCTCTAAGTACTGAATGAAATTAAGAAGTAAGAAATAAAACATAAATTTCATGCATAACAGGTCAATTGTTATACATTATACATAAAAGAATGATATATAATGTTGATATTGTTTATTAGAACCATTTGTTGTAAAAAAACCAATGTCAAGTAAAATATTTGGTGTGTTTTGGAGTAGCATTTTACACTCCAAAAGGTCAAATAAATTTAGTTTTTTCAAAAGTTTGATCGACAATATTCTTCCTGGTCTGTCTAGTCTTTCATTCTATATTTGTTTAATATAAGCTGCACAAGAAAAAAAAAAAGAAAACCGAATGGAGGAGTGCGGTACATATATCAAAAAAATGTCTTAAAGAAGCCGGATTCTTTCCTTTAGTTAAAAAGAATAATGTATGATAAATTGATACGCTTAGGATTTGCATGTTTTGATAGAATTTCTGTTTTAATATGTACTACTTTATTTGTTTGCTGTAGGCTGACCATGCAAAAAGATGAGTTTAAGGTTTGGGTTTTTTCATATTTTTCTGCAGTAGATGAAATAAAATTTAAAAAAAAAATGTCTCAAAGAAGCTGGATTCTTTTCTTTCATTAAAAAAATATAAAGTATGATAAAGTGATATTGCCTGTATTTAAAAAATTAATTTCCTGTAAGTACTGAATGAAATTAAGAAGTAAGAGATAAAACAAAAATTTACATAACAGGTCAATTGTTGTATACTATACATAAAAGAATGATATATAATGTTGATATTGTTTATTAGAACCATTTGTTGTAAAAAAACCAAATGTCAACTAAAATGTTTGGTGAGTTTTTGAGAAGTGTTTTATACCAAGGCTCAAATAAATTTAGTTTTTTCAATAGTTTGATCGACAATATTCTTCCTGGTCTGTCTATTCTTGCTCTTTCATACTATATTTGTTTACTATAAGCTGCAAAAGAAAAAAAAAAAATGAATGGAGGGGTACGGTACATATATCAAAAAATGTCTCAAAGAAGCCGGATTCTTTCCTTTCGTTAAAAAGAATAATGTATAGTAAATTATGTAATAAATAATGTATAATAAATGCTAAGGATTTGGATGTTTTAATATAATTTCTGTTTTAATATGTACTACTTTATTTGCTTGATGTAGGCTGCACTTGCAAAAAAATGAGTTTATGGTTCGAGTTTTTTCATATTTTTCTGCAGTAAATGAAATAAAATTTTAAAAAAATGTCTCATAGAAGCTGATTCTTTTCTTTCATTAAAAAAATATAATGTATGATAAAGTGATATTGCCTGTATTTAAAAAATTAATTTCCTGTAAGTACTGAATGAAATTAAGAAGAAATAAAACATAAATTTCATACATAACAGGTCAATTGTTGTTTATTACACATAAAAGAATGATATATAATGTCGATATTGTTTATTGGAATCCTTTAATGTAAAAAAAAACCAATAGCATTTTATACTCCAAAGGGTCAAACAAATTCAGTTTTTTCAAGTTTGATCGACCACGTTCTTCCTGGTCCGTCTATTCTCGCTGTTTAAACTTTGTTTGCTTTAAGCTGCCCAAGCAAAAAAAAATATATTTATGAGTAGGTATATTAGGGTTTTTTTGTATTTTTCTCCAGTAATAAAAAAAAATTGGATTATTTTTTTCCTTTCTACAGGAGGGAAAACAAGGGGCGAGTCATTAGGGACGCTCCTAAAAATAGACGTCTGATTCACAGCCTCTTTTGGCCGAGAGCGAAAAGGCAGCAGAGAACCGGGTCGAATCTTCGTTGGGGCAGCAGGCGGAACGGCAGACGGAACGCGATTCCGGCCGGTCAAGGATCGAAGTGTGGGGGAACCCGTCGGCAAGGCGGGACATCGTGTCCTTTTAAGGACGTGGCCTCCGTCCTCCACCCAAGAGAGGAAAACCGCCTCCGGGTTCATTTTCAACATTTCCAGGAAGTTTTCCAGGCGTCCATCTCGCGACGTAGGAAAAAAAACTTCAAAGAAAATTCGCAATGTAAACAAATATTTTCAATCCTGGGGAATTTTACCTGTTGCGCCACTGGCTCGAGGATGCTCTCGATCGTTTTAGTGTGGAAGACGGGCATTTTGATTTGAATGAGGGCACGGAGAACGGATTGGGCTGGAGCGGGGAAATCCTCGTCGAGTAACACAACGCGGGCTTACGAAGACGTACGTCCTCGGAGAACGAAACCTGACAGTCGACTGACTCAGTGACTCTCACTCGGTCTCGGCAGCCTGAGTTCGATTCGTCTTGCGTCGAGTTTCAACTCGGCTCAATCGATCTCGACGAGGCAAATTCGAATCTAGTCGCTCGATCTTCGTTCATCCGCTACGCACTTCATGTCTTCTGTACTTCGTAAAACTTTTGTAAGTTAACTATTGGCCTTAATCCAGTATGGACTTTTCTTTCAAAAGCTCTGTTATTATTCTACATTTTAGGCAGTTTTTCTCAACGTTTTTCTAGTTAATTTTAGCACTTTATGAGAAGCACTAACAAGGGAACGACCAGGTTGGTGAGTCACAGATTTGGACCAAACTTATTTTAGTGATTGAGTCCTGGTTTCGCGTTTTTTTTTTTGTTTTTTTTTTGTTTGAAAGTTGAAATTTTGCTTTGTTTAACATTTTTATTTCACCTTCTACTTGCCAAATCAACTATTTCGATATATCATTTTACAGAATTTTTATGTAGATGCAATAAAAATATAGTAAAAGCTATCCAAATTTATCAGTAATAAAAAAAAAACTAAAAACCATATATTTACAAGTAAACTAGTCATATTTTTTTTTTAATTAATTTATTTATTTATTTTTTTGAAAGTTGAAATTTTGCATTGTTTAACATTTTTATTTCGCCTTCTACTTGCTCAAATCAACTATTTCGATATATCATTTTACAGAATTTTTATGTAGATGCAATAAAAATATAGTAAAAGCTATCAATGTTTATCAGTAGTAAAAAAATCTAAAAACCATATATTTACAAGTACACTAGTCATATTTTTTAAATACTTTTTTTTGTTGTTTGAAAGTTGAAATTTTGCATTGTTTAACATTTTTATTTTGCCTTCTACTTGCTCAAATCAACTATGTCGATATATCATTTTACAGAATTTTTATGTAGATGCAATAAAAATATAGTAAAAGCTATCAAAGTTTATCAGTAATAAAAAATATATAAAAACCATATATTTACAAGTAAACTTTTTCTTTTTTGAAACTAATATGAAATTTCGACTTAGCACCTCTAGATCACATACAATCTCACATACCACTTATTCACCTTTCCTATATATTTATCCTTGCCAAATCCCCCAAGCGGAGTGGAAACAGCTTAGGTGAGGACTGTGTGGTTAGACAGTCACAAAAAATTTTCGTGGAACTAATATGAAATTTCGTTTCAGCACTTCTACAGACAAAGAGAAAAATGATGTTAAAACTTGCACTATTTGAACTAGGAATGTCTGTCAAACGGTTGTCGAAATTATCAGTCCAAATATTAACTTACGACTGGCTTTTTACGAAACGAACATATACACGATTTTATGTTATCCGTGAAGCCGAGAAAATATATGAGTACGAGGCGTAAATTTGATCGGTCGAGCGGGTTTAACATCGCTAAGTTTTTCTTTATATTTTTAATCTAACTTCCAAGGGGACAACTGAGTTGGTGGGACGCAGATTTGGACCAAACTTTATTGGTGTTTGTACACTCAAAATATCGGACACATATCCGCCACTTATTGTCAATGGGCCCTAGTTTCGCAAAAAAAATTTGAAAGTTGAAATTTTCAGTTTTTTTAAATATTTTTATTTTTCTGTTCTACTTGCTCAAAGCAATATGTGAATATATCATTTTACGGTATTTTTTATGTAGATGCGATAAAAATATAGTAAAAGTTATCAAAGTTTATCAATAAACAAAAAATTTCTAAAAACCTTCAATTATGTTTGAAGTAAACTAAGTCACAAAAAATTTCTCGTGGAAATAATATAAAATTTCGTTTTAGCATCTCTACAGATCGCTAAATATAAATTTTTGTTTGAATTTAAATTGATTGATTTTTGTCCCCTAAAATTTTTCCGTTTCTTAAGAAGTCGTTCTCGAAATATCTAATTGAAAAGGCTATAATTAAAAACCAACTAAAAGGATTTTAACATAAAACATACCATTTGAAAGAAGAGAATTGTAGCTTTATAACAACCCATGTAGCATAAAAATATATAAAAGATTTCTATTTAAAAAAAAATAATAATAATAATAAAATAAGAAGATATTTTTGTTAGAAATTAACCTCGTTTTTTAAATGATATTAATAGGTGGTTTTTAATGTGTGATTTAGTCATAAAATGCACTTGGCAATTGCTTTAAAATGAATTATCAACCACGAAAATTAGTCCATTAGCTTTTGAAAAAAATGATGTTAAAACTTGCACTACTTGCACCAGAAATGTCCGTCAAGCGGTTGTCGAAATTATGTCAAAAAATTAACTTACAACTGGATTTCTTCGATTTCGTTCTCCAAAAACATATACATGATTTAATGTTCATCCGTGAAGCTGAGAAAATATTTGAGTGCGAAGCGAGAATTTGATCGAAAGAAAAAAATCGGTTTTTCCTCTAACAAGGCGCTTGAATAGATTAAAACTTGCACGATGGAACGGTCGGGCGGGTTTAGCATCGCTAAGCGCCGTTTTTCTTTATATTTTTAATCTAAATTTTAAGAGGACGTTGGTGGCAAACTGATTTGGACCAAATTTTTTTTTGGTGATTTTACACTCCAAAATATCGGACAGACATCAACTATGTGAATATATTGTTTTACAGAATTTTTATATAGATTACAGTAGAAATATAGTAAAAGCTATGAAAGTTTATCAATAATCAATAAAATTCTAAAAAATAAATTTTTCAAGTAAACGGCCATAAATATTTTTCGTAAAACTAATATGAAATTTCGTTTTAGTACCTCTAATGACCCCCTAAATATTTTTTTTTTCAATTTAAATTCATCGATTTTTAACCTCTACAATTTTTTCGATTCTTAAGAAGCTCACGGAATATCTGACGGTTATAATTAAAAAACGGCTAAAAGGATTTTAAACACAAACAGACCATTTGAAAGAAGAGAAACGTAGCTTCTTAACTATTTATGTAATCATAAAAATATATAAAATAATTCTATAAAAAATACATAAAATAAGAAGATATTTTTGACAGACATTGATCTCGTTTTTTAAATAGAAATAATGGTTCAATTTTAATGTTTGATACAGTTATAAAATGCACTTGATAATTTCTTTAAAACGAATTATGAACCACGAAAACCAGTCAACTAGCATTTGTGAAAAATGATGATAACTATGAATGCTTGTCAGGCAAAAAGGTCGTGGAAATTATCAGGCAGAAAATTAATTTACGATTGGATTTTTACGAATTTACACTTCAAAAACATATACATGATTTAACGTTTATCCTGAAGCTGAAAAAATATATGAGTGCGAAGCGCGAATATTGTCGATTAAAAAAATCCCAAAGTACAAATTTCTCCTTAAAATATCGGACACGTATCCGCCACTTCTTCTCAATAGGCCCTGGTTTTGCCACTTTTTTGTTTTGAAAGTTGAAATTTTCCTTTTTTTAAGATTTTTATTTCGCCTTCTACTTGCTCAAATCAACTATATGAATATATCATTTTACAGTATTTTTATATAGATTGTAATAGAAATATAGTAAAAACTATCAAAGTTTATCAATTATCAAAACATGTCTAAAAACCAAATATTTTTCAAGTAAACTAGGCCATATATTTTTTGCGTGAAAGTAATATGAAATTTCGTTTTAGCACCTCTAGAGACCTAAATATAAATTTTTGTTTGAATTTAAATTTATCGATTTTTTGACCTCTAAAATTTTTCCTATTTTGAATACGTCCTCGGAACAACTGACAGTTATAATTCAAAAACGGCTAAAAGGATTTTAACGTCAAGCAGACCATTTGAAAGAAGAGGAAGGTAGCTTCTTAACAATTTATGTATCACAAAAATATATAAAAGAATTCTATAAAAAAAATACATAAAATAAGAAGATATTTTTGACATTGATCTCGTTTTTTAAATAGAAATAGTCCGATTTTAATGTTTGATACAGTTATAAAATGCACTTGACCATTTCTTGAAAACGAATTATCAACCATAATCAATCAACTAGCTTTTGTGAAAAATGATGATAGAGGACTAGGAATACTTGTCAGGCAGAAAGTTCGTGGAAATTATCAGCCAGATAATTTGAGACTGGATTTTTACGAATTCACTCTTCAAAATCGCGAATTTGGTTGAATAAAAAAAAACCCTAAGAACAAATTTCTCCTTTAACAAGGCGCTTGAATAGATTAAAAATTGCATGATGGATCGGTCGTGCGGGTTTAACATCGCTAAACGCCGTTTTTCTTTATATTTTAATTCTTGCCAAACAATTTTTTGAAAGTTGAAATTTTCAGTTACTTACTTAAATCAACTATGTGAATATATCGTTTTACAGCATTTTTTGTATAGATTGTAATAGGAATATAGTAAAAGCTATCAAAGTTCATCAATAAAAAAAAATGGGGGGTTGAGATGGGGAGTTGATGTCCGAGTGGATCGAGGTCACGATAGCCCAGGTGGTAGAGCAGCGGCGTATCTAGCCGAAGGTCGTGGGTTCGAATCCCTCTCGTGCCATTAGCTTTTTTTCATCTCAACTAAAAACCTTAATTAATAGTAATGTATTAATTGGTCAAGCGCACCACAAAATTAGTGAATTTAATAAAAAAAAATATATATATAACCATATATTTACAAGTAAACTAGGTCATAATTTTATTTATTTATTTTTTTTTATATTGAAACTAATATGAAATTTCGACTTAGCACTTCTAGATCACATACAATTTCATGCACCACTTATTCCTTTCCTATATATTTATCCTTACCAAATCCCCCAAGCGAAGTGGGAACAGCTTAGGTGAGGGCTTTGTGGTTAGAGAGAAGCCTAGTTTATTTAAACAAACTCCGGTTTAAATGACAGCTTGCTCTCTGTAAAACCTGGGCCCCATTGATGAAACAGGAAGTGGTTCCGATCCACGTGAAATTTAATGTATTCAACTCAGTATGTCGGTCAATCATCTGTTACGGCTGCCAGATACGGGGCTACCAACAATATGAAGAAGTCGAGAAATTCCAAAGATTTTTTATTTGTAAGTTATTTGCTCTTCCTACCCCAAACTACATGATTTATTTAGAAACGTCCACTGACCTTAAAACTTCACTTTTCATTTATTTTCAAAATTTTGAATTCCCCTTACATAAAATTGGCAAAAATAACTGCGACCGAAGTCATCAGGAATAAGATCGCCTGGTATGCCCATTTGAAGTAACCTGTCCCACGTACGAAATCCTTGCTGATTGGCCAGCTCTCTTTTTAGATCTGCTATCTAGATTCAAGGAATGGCATCGGAACGGTTGCTTACTCCGAGCTCAGTCCTCGCTTAACTTTTCCTTATTCAAAGACTTGCCTCACCCCCACACTTTATTTAATCTACAGAGAGAGAACCTTAATTCCCTTAGTCTTTCAAACTTAAGATGGCTACTAAAAACCTGTTGCGAGGCCCTTAACTTGAACTCTGCACTTTGGTTGAGGGGCAAGGAGGGGTTATGTGCCCTTTGCAATTCTCAATCTGTGGAAACTGCATTTTATGGCCGAATGAACAATATTGGGCGAGATAAGGATCTTTTACCCTCTCTAGGAGCTCTCTGTTAAATCTGTTGGATGGCCCAGATCCACGGGCGCTCATGCAGTATGTCCACCACGCCTGGAAATATAGATTAGACCTAATTTTGGAATTCAATTTCTGACCCCTCCAATTCATTCACTCAATTTCCTTTATATAATATATGTCTTTATTATATCCGACTTTTTGTCCCTTTACCATTAAGACTTTTCCCTAGGTTTGTTTTCTATTAGAAGTAGTTTTACTATTATGTTTAATCTTTTTTGATGGTGTACTAGCATGTAGTGAATAATGTTATAACCTCACTTTAATTCTTATTATGTTTTCGTTTATTCTTTTTCTCTTGACAACGATCATGCATTGCTAATAATGTGTGGTGATTAGATCTCAATAAAGATCGAAACGTTGGCACGATAAAGAAAATGTTTTTCTGAAACCTACATCACACCAGACCGCATCTAACGATTTCTAAATAAATTGCTAATAATCATTGTTATGTACTCTGTGGGGTTGACTACATCCCTAGCTATTCATTGGAATTCACATGATCCCAAATATTAAACCAAAAGGAAACAGAGGCTGTAGAGCCTCAAAATAAACCAAGCAGTGAAGAGAAAGTCATCTGTTGAAAAGCGTTCCCCCAGCTGTCACAATTGAGGTTTCAAAGAGGATAGAGCAGCACACTCCTGGAAGAGATTGGAATGATCTCACAGGATAAAGTTGCTCAAATTGCAAGTTAAAGAGATTTCGGAGGACAATGGCCAAAAAAAGACTCCTTAAATTTAGAAGGAAATGCTACACGTGGCTTTGAAAAATTCCTGCATATCCTCAGCAAAAGCCTGCCTGCAAAGAGAAGGCGAGAAATGGAGACGACCAATGAGCAGGTGCAAAAAGAGAAGACCAAGTTGGCAGAATCCTTTGGTAAAGGACCCTATGGTCAACCTTCATGGAGGCTTTCAAAAAAGGAAGAAGGCTGGGTATCATCCCTCTAGACCAGGGGTCAGCAACCTTTTTCGGATGGCAGGCCATTTTCAAAATAAATTTTTTTATGCGGGCCACACATTCAAATGTAACTTAAATAGTGCTTTTATATCAGATACGAGTATAAATATTATTATGGGGAGTGGGGATTAAACTTGCGTAGTAAAATAGGCCCACTATGCTTCTGTTAGCGCGCATTTTTGTCACCGGCCACATTTCGGCTCGCTCACACTTTAAGTTTGTTGATTTTTCCTAAAATTATATTGGGCTTTGGCAGGACGCGCAAAAAGTTGCAAAGGGCCGCAGGTTGCCGACCCCTGCTCTAGACTATCCCCAATCACTATTGACAGTGTGCAACTACATTCCATCAAGAAGAATCAAAAGGAAGATAATGCAGGTTGAAGAAAGCATAAAACTAGCCTTTAATGGGCTAACATAAAAATCATGCTTGTCTGTTATCAAACTGCTGTCTTGGTTGGCCACACCACAAACAAAATGGTAGCACTGAATATTCATTTGTATAGTGACACTAATTAACTTAACTTACCAGTTTTACTAAGATAAAAACAGTAAAAGAATCCAGAGATGATAGAAATAGAGAATTTAAAAAAATAGGAAATCCAAAACAAGTGAAAAAACTGCTGATTTTTAATTTCAAGTGAAGCTTGTTGCACTTGAAATACATAACATTTCTCACCATGTGTATGAAGCATAATCAACCTTTGAACTGCATTAATTTATTAACTTACATTCACTAATTTCGTGTTCCGCTTGACCAATTAATGTACTACAATTAATTAAGGTTTTTAGTTGAGATAAAAAAGTCAATGGCACGAGCGGGATTCGAACCCACGATCTTCGGCTTGATACGCCGCTGCTCTACCACTTGAGCTATCGTGACCTCGATCCACTCGGACACCAACTGTACACAACATTTGAAAAATGGCAAAAAGGAGGGAAAATTCAAAAGGTGGGGTTGAGATGGGAAGTTAGTGTCCAAGTGGATTGAGGTCACAATAGCTCAAGTGGTATCGTGGATTCGAAACCCGCTCATGCCATTGACTTTTTTATCTCAACAAAAACCTTAATTAATTGTAGTTATTAACTTACATTTAAGCTCATGCTGAACTGGCACTAGGTTTCTTATTGATCTGCCTACACTTGCTGGTTTGTCAAACCTGCAAGTGAAGAATGACCCAATAAGTGACCCAGGGTTCAGCATAAATTCACCAACTCACCAGTATTAAATTTGTTTTATTTGTGCATATTTTGTAGCTAAATACTAATTTACAATAAAACCCAAGCACTACATTCCATCAAGAAGAATCTAAAAGGAAGATGGAGCAGGTTGAAGAAACCCTAAAACTAGCCTTTAATGAGCTAATATAAAAATCATGTTTGTCTGTTGTCAAACTGCTGTGAATGAAAAAAAAAATGGCAGCGCTGAATATTCATTTGTATAGAGAGACTAGTTAACTTAATTTACCAGTTTTACTAAGTTAAAAAAAGTAAAATAATCCAGAGGTGATAGAAATAGAGAATAAAAATTAGAAAAAAAATAAGAAAACCAAAATAAGTGAAAAACTGATGATGTTTAATTCTAAAGTGAAACTTGTTGTACTTGAAATACATATTACATTTCTCACAATGTGTATGAAAGCATGATCAACCTTTAAACTGTATAAATTGTTTAATGTTAAAACATAAGTTGTTTTAAGCCCATGCTGAACTGGCACTAGGTTTCTTATTGATCTGCCTACACTCGCTGGTTTGTCAAACCTGCAAGTGAAGAATGACCCAATAAGTGACCCAGTGCTTGTTCAGCATAAGTTCACCAACTCAATTATTAAACTAATTTTATTTGTGCATATTTAGTAGCTAAATATTAATTTACAATAAAACCCAAGCACTAGTCAGTGCTAAGCCAATCTCCAATTTGATTAACGATATTGACCCGAGCTTTAGTCAATTGAGGAGGATCCTTTGGTGATGGTGGGTACATGTTAGCACAGTGAGCAGTACCTAAAATATTAAAGTTATTTTGTACTTTCTTTAACAAAATCAAAATGTATAATATGAAATCAAATATAAACCATTTATGTAAATTGCTCGTATTTCAGGTTTGTTTGAGACGGTGATTCCAAGCACATGCCAAGGATCAATGCTGCCATGAACAAATAAAACTCTCGTTGCTTTTAAATGAACGTCACCGTACATAATGTTCGTTCTCATTATTCCATCGTTTAAAACCTGTTCGTTAATTCTAAAATACAGTTTAAAATATACTATTATGTACCACAATTTATTATTTCTTATTGACTTACTCTGGACCAAACATATCTTGGCACCGTTTTGTGAAATATGACAATGGTATGTTAGAACCAAAAAGTTCATCAGGGCTAGTAGAAGTTTGAAAGAAACCGAATTCTGTACACATTTGATAAATCCACTGACGATCTATGTTTAATGAAAAATAAACAGTTGGTGAATTCACTTAATTGCTTTAAGGCAATTTAAGATTTCACCTGCTTTGCTGTGGTCCCAGACTGTATTTCTGAGTTCCTCTATTTGCTGGGAATATGTAAAATTTAAACATTCACTTTTAGTCGCTGCAAGCAGCATTTTGTTAACAGCTGCATATCTTGAAAATAAATAAATTAATAAATTAAAACTATAATTACTCGAATGAATCGATTATAACTTGTCCTTAAATATTTACCTGTCTAATGGTTCGCCTAGGCCCGGGTCGACCATTTTGTTGCAAAGATCGTTAATAGTTATTTCAGACATGGGGCTTTTTGGTATTCTGTTATCTTCATTGTAAACAACAACAAGACCAAAATTTCTTGAAAGTGTGTCAGCTAACGAGGACACATCTAATCCATTGCTCACATTGAGATCAGAGCAAAGTCTAAAAAATGAAAACACATTATTAATTTAATGTTGTTTTAATAAATAATCATATTATTTTAATTTATTACAATTAATTAAGGTTTTTTAGTTGAGATAAAAAAGTCAATGGCACGAGCAGGATTCGAACCCACGATCTTCGGCTAGATACGCCGCTGCTCTACCACTTGAGCTATCGTGACTTCGATCCAGTCGGACACCAACTTCCCAACTCAACCGCACCCTTTGAATTTTCCCTCTTTTTTGCCATTTTTCAAATGTCGTGTAATCGGGTTGGATTCTCGAAGACAAATGAAATGGCCACGGGAGCTTTAGTGAAGTATACTTCATTTTTAATCATTAAATTCACTAATTTCGTGGTCCGCTTGACCAATTAACATATTACAATTAATTAAGGTTTTTTAGTTGAGATAAAAAAAGTCAATGGTTCGAGTGGGATTTGAACCCACGATCTTCGGCTTGATTTGCCACTGCTCTACCACTTGAGCTGTCATGACCTCGATCCACTCGGACACCAACTTCCCATCTCAACTGCACCCTTTTTCCTCCTTTTTGCCAAAATTCAAAAGATGGGGTTGAGAAGGGAAGTTGGTGTCCGAGTGGATCAAGGTCACGATAGCTCAAGTGGTAGAGCAGTGGCGTATCAAGCCAAAGATCGTGGGTTCGAATCCCGCTCGTGCCATTGACTTTTTATCTCAACTAAAAAACCTTAATCAATTGTAATATGTTAATTGGTCAAGCGGACCACGAAATTAGTGAATTTAATTATTTCAATTGTTAGCATATCATACATACTTAAATTGTTTTGTTAATGTTTTTGCACCGGACGGATCTCTGACTAACTTATCAAAATGCTTAACAGCCCGATGGACAGAAGGTGCACAATCATCGTTGAATGTAGATAATGAGACTGAAACAGACTCATAGTACTCTAAAATTAAAAATACATGGTTACTTTTTTTACTCTTTGAATGCCAAGGATGTACATGTGCATCCAAGTCATTTACCGTCTACGTCCATGGGCAAACTTGTACCTCAATTTGCTCTAGCTTTGCCTGGTTGGCCATAGATTGTAATCTACACACTTTGGTCATTAGCTGGTGTTTTCCTGTACAGTATGCTGATTTTGGTTTTTAAACACAACTTGCAGACATTACAGTCATCATAGTTTTAAAAAAAGCAGTGTACTGTTCGGATGTACATGTACAGCAATGACACTCGAAATAAGTTTTATTTTATATCAAGTTTTAAAGCTTATAGATTCTCTCTCCTCTATCATTCTCTCACTCTCTCTCCTCCTCTTGATTGGCTACCTTTTAAATCTGCTTTTGCGAGAAGTGGACTACTTGTAGAAATAGCAGCATGTACCAAATGAGGATATTTGTATCGAAGCCAGGCAGCCAAGGACCCGGGGTAGCTTCCACCGAACGCGATCCATTTATTCCTCTCCGTCAATCCGTATTTCTTATTCATCCCTTTAATGAAGTTAGCCAGATCAGCAAGTGCTTGCTCACTGCTCAAATACCTAAGATTTTGAGTGCTCATATCTCTACGGAGGAAAAAAAGTATTCATCAAATGTGTGTCAAAATATTCATCCATAAAAATTATCCAAAATAATTAATTATTTATTTAAATACAAATTCATGTTTTTATATATAATGATAATATGTATTTTTAATAATGAAAAACAAGAATTTTTTAAAAAATGAATGTATATTAGACATACGGTGTGGGTTGTGATTTTCCATAATATCTATGTTCTAGTTGGAAACATAATGCTTTATGTTTTTGAGCGTAGTCGATCCAAGCACCTTTCACCATCCATTCTGCTAAAGCTTCCCATTCGCCTTCAATCAGTAGAAAAACAGGGGCGTTCTGCTTGGCTATGATGAATGAATCATTCATTCGGTATCTCTTAAAAATGACAGAGTTTATCACAGGTTGGTTGAAGTTCTTACAAAGACCGAACTGTCGTATACCTGATTCCAGGTGTGCATGTTCGTCGGGTCAAAGTGGTCCAGCTTTTGTTCAAACCACATGTCTGGAGGGAGACGATGATGTTTAACATGAGGCGGCAATGGCTTCATCGAATTCCTTCTAAGAGCAGAGCAGTGTACAATGCACACTGTTACTATTAAGGAAAGAATACTTTTCTTGATCATTTTGCCTTGAAAAAAAGTTTTTGTTTTTTTATTAATCTCAAGGATAAAAAAAGGTTGTTGGATTAGTTAGGAGTAGTCAAGAATGAGATTGTTCAGAAAAACACCTTTTTCATTTTTTTGCTGGCGTTTCGACCTTTATTTGGGCCATCTTCAGAGCCTGGGTGAATAATCAATACATATGTTGATTGGAAAAATACAGTACAGATGTAAATATAAACTTTTAAAGAAAGTATTTCATATTGTAATTCACCACAAAAAATTGGCCACCCTTGTTAGTTTTTTGTTTTTTTAGTAAATACTTGCAATCATTATAATTTTTATTTTTTGGTATTTCTGGATATTTTTAAAGAAAAATATAAGATATAGCTAAATAAAAAAAATTAAAAAATTAAACTGAGTAAAACAATTTTACCAAAAATGTAGTTATGAAAACAATGAAGAAAATATTCAGTTATGTACATAGTAAATTCACTAGTTTCGTGGTCTGCTTGACCATTTAATATATTTCAATTGATTAAGGTTTTAAGTTGAGATAAAAAAGTCAGTGTCACGAGTGGGATTCGAACCCACGACCTTCGGTTTGATATACCGCTGCTCTACCACTTGAGCTATCGTGACTTCTGTACATAGTATTTCTTTCTTTTGCATTTATCACCACTTGCATTCAATGCGGCATTTTATTCTTAATTCCTCCAAATCCTCTGGCATCACTGGGCAACATTTTACTCTCTTTGACAACTCGTCCTAATGGTGTTTGATATCGTTTCAGTCCAATACATGCTGGCCACTCCATGAATTGAAGCCTGTTACAATTAGTCACCAGCTTTGTGTAAAAATAAAACCTTTGCCAGTTAGTGGCATATAAAGAATAACTTCTCATAAAACATTTTTAATGTATCACACAGCTCTTAGGGAACCCTTGATGAAGTTTGTGCGTTACTTCCATAGAAATGCCAGCCCAAACCAAAATAGCTTTTCCAAAGTGAAAATGTTGCGGGGATACATCGCTCTCCTGTCCTTCTCCAAACCCTGTCTCAGCCGACAGAATGCATCAAACAAAACTTGACCCATCCAAAAACAAAATTTTAGTCCAATTTTCCTCAGACGAATTGATGTGATTTCTTGCGAAAATGCACTGTCTTGGGTCATAGTAGATGACCTTCTGGCACTTAATTCAGCTTTTGAAATTCCTTGTCTTACAGGGCTGACATTAACATTTCTAACTTGTTGAAGTTGTTGCTTGATCTCAACAGCGGTGGAATCTCGATTACGGATTACATTTGAAACAAAAAACAATCATCTCTCTGAGGGCATGATGGCAACCTGATCCATGCCATACTGAGTAACCTCCAGTATCTTGGTAACGAAGGAAGACCCTTTGGAAAATTGTTCTGGGAATGTTAAGCAAGTTGGCCACATATGCTTTGCTTCTTCCATCTTCCAACACCCCTGTTTAGGTCTTTTTGGATCTTGAGAGTGGCCGAGTGAAGATCGGAAGGATGAAAGGATATGTATATTTGGGAGTCATCGGCATATAGGTGATAGTTACAGGACTGGATGGAGTCGGGCAGATCATTGATATAAATGGAAAAAAGGATGGATTGAAAAAAGGATTGATATAAATGGAAAAAAAAGAACTCACCCAAAGAGCACTAAACCTGGTAGAACAATGGTGTTTAAAACGGGGACTTAAAGTAAACCCTTCAAAAACTACCTTAATTGCTTTCACCAAGAAAAGGAATATAAAAATACAAGGATTACACTTCTATAACGAAATGCTGTTATTAAAAAATGAGGTTAAATATCTAGGAATAATCTTTGATAAGAAATTAACCTGGAATCCTCACCTGCAACATACTATAGCAAAAGGTAAAATATCGCTAATGACCACAAGAAGGACCTTAGGCAAATCTTGGGGACTAAAACCGAAAATGGCCTATTGGCTATGCTCGGCAGTAGTAAGACCCAGAATAACCTATGGATCACTAATCTGGTGGAACAAAGCTCAACAAAAAGTAGCTACCCAAACATTAGGCAGCATACAAAGACTAGAAAACCTATGTATCACAGGGGCAATGAGAACAACCCCTACAAACGCATTAAAAACTTTGCTAAACCTACCTCTACTGGAAAGGAAATATTCATACAAGGAGAGGCTAGGAAAAGCTCACTTAAGCTCCAGAAACAATTAATTGGAAAGGAACTAAACAATTCGGCAACAACCATAATCAACAAAATCAGACACCCATTATTAGAAATAGGGACTGATTATATGATCCCGGAAACAATCTTCACAACTTCCTATAAAGTCTAAATGGACTATAAAGGACAGGAAGAACACAGGAGAGCATCAGATACAATGATATGGTACACAGATGGCTCCAAAACAAACAAAGGAACCAGATCAGGCGTTTTCTGTACAAGCCCAAAACATGAGCAATCAAACTCATTAGGGAAGTACGCTTTGGTCTTTCAAGCGGAAATACATGCCATCAATGCTTTTGCTCTGGAAAATCTTAAAAGAGGTTACACTGACAAAAAAATCCTCATAAGATCAGATAGCCAAGCAGCTATGAAAGCATTAGCTTGTAAAAGAATCACATCAAAATTAGTCAGTGCATGCATCCAAAATCTCCAAAACCGGGGAAACACAACAACCTGTTGATATCTTGGGTGCCAGGGCACAGGGGAATTTTGGGTAGTGAGAAAGCAGACGGTCTGGCCAGAGGAGGATCTGCAAGACCATACATAGGCCGCGAACCTATTCTTGGGATAACAAAAACAAATATAGAATCCTCCATCGCAGAATGGATCCAAGCAAAACAAAAGGAGAAGCGGATAAAATCTAGCGGTGCTAGACATAGTAAACTTATGATGAAACGACCCTTACCGAGACTGGCAAAAACACTGCTGCAATTAATTGGAGAGGGCCAAATTCAGAGGAGTGGTAGGACTACTAACCGGTCACTGGTATCTGAGAAAACATCTACACAACATGGGTATATACCGCGATGATCCCATTTGCAGATTATGTAATGAGGAGGAGAAAACTCATATCATCTTTGAAGGCGAAGCAACAGCTCAATGGAGGTTTAACCTAACATACGAAAAGACTTAGGGAATCAAATTGCAGAAGCAACAGTCAATGACCTGATACTTCTAAAAAGGATTGAGTCTATTGACTGAAATAAGGAACTAGGAAGGTACAATAAGCCAGAAGGCTGCAGTGCCTGGGGAGCACAAACCCTACTTCCTAGTATCCTTTTCCTTACCACACCATACCATACCATATTCCACCTTCCAACAATGCTATGATTAATTCACTACTTTCGTGGTCCGCTTGACCAATTAATACATGACAATTAATTAAGGTTTTTAGTTGAGATGAAAAAAACTCAGGTGGGGTTGAGATGGGGAGTTGATGTCCGAGTGGATTGAGGTCACGATAGCTCAGGTGGTAGAGCAGCGGCATAACTAGCCGAAGGTCGTGGGTTCGAATCCCTCTCGTGCCATTAACTTTTTTTCATCTCAACTAAAAACCTTAATTAATTGTAATGCTATGATTCTAGCCCTGAATCTATATTACTTAAAACTATCGCTCAAACAAATTTGAAACTTAAAAATCCAACCACTAAAATGTTAGAAAGACAGAAAGAAGAAATTGACTATTCAAAAATTTATTTACAAAATCCAATTATAAACACAAGTGGGATATTTTATCTGGCTTTTATTTACCTCTAATCCTTTAAAACAATCAAGTATTGTTGTAAGATAATTGACGGAGTATTGTATAAGATATAATTAAAAACATTAAGGCTGGCCACTTTTGCGCCTCTCAGTGTATTTATAAATTTATAATAAAATACCTGATGAAGAGTTATGTTAAAACTTGGTCATGTCAAATAATAATTAAAATAAAGCTATAAATATCATTTGTCTTCAAAGCCCTGCTCTCTATGATAGAACACTTAAACAGGACTTCATTGAACTTTATTATAATAAAATGTATCTACCTACCTAATATTTTTCCCTGTTGAAAATCCCGTTACCTTTTGCCTTACTTATGTGGATAACATCCTTTTGTACCCTGTAGCGTTTTTGTTAATGAGTACTGTTAAGATACTATTGTATTATTACAATATCATTTCCAAACTATTATATGTACATTAACTTTGCGAGATAACATACTCAAAGAAAAAAAAACCCATGACATTTATATTTTGGTGCTTATTTCAAACTATATGTATTTATATGAATTACATCATACGGGATCGAAAATTCATGAATTTTATAAATGTTATTTAATTGTGATTGTTAGTTTTTTTAATTAATTTAATTTCATGTACAATTTTTCATGTATCATATACAACCAGCAGATTGGATTTCAATTTATAATGGTGACATTTTGGGCGTTATAGAGAAAGTTACCCATTGACAGCTGCTCAGATTAATAAAATAATATTTAAGACCATTTAAGAGATCTCTTATCCATATTTTTTGTGTGGTAATTATGGGGAATCAATCAATCATATTTGTATGTTAGTGTGATTTTGTAATTACTATGAAACGTCTGTCATTTGTTTATGGATGAAAAAAACAATTGGCATGTGAAAATATTTGTGAACTGTGTTATCGTTTTCATAAAAAGGGAAGAAACAATCAGTCTTAAAATTTTTGATTTGTAATCCATGAATATTTGATATTAATTGGAATATTTGACCGATCTGAGCTTGGCACCCGTACATCCAAATAGGTTTGAGTCTTCAAAAGATATGATTTTAATGATAATTTTGATTGTTGGTTGAGTAGGCAATAAAGCATTTTAAATCGTTTGTTGAGTATCCGTTTTTTTAACTGTGTGGATTCCAAGTTGTTTTGTCGGATTGAGAAACAGGTTCATTGTCTAAGTATCATAAGGTGATATGTTGTGACTTTGACGGGTTATTTTCCAAAGATTGCTCCATTTTCAATTGTTGATTTGTGGTTGTGTAACACAAGTGA